CCTCCTCTCTTCCTCTCTCTTTCTCTGTCTTCATGTGGGTTGATACTAGGGAAGGATAAAGTCTTGAGAAACAATCAGAAAGGATTCTATGATGTTTGGGGTGTCTTGTTAGTTGTCAGTATATAAATGGCATTTTGAAATTCAAGTGGCCTTCTATGTTGCAGGTGCTACAGCAAGCTTCCTGGAACCAGCAGGCTTTCTGGCCTGTGGCTGCCTCAGCTAGGGATGGCGCCAGCTTGTGACTTCCAGCTTGTGTGGTACTGGCAGAGGAGCTGTGCTCAGGCCAACTGGGAACATTTCTCCATCTTTTCTTCACCCAGGTCCCTGACTTTCCAAGGCCTTGGAAGACAGCTTTGGCTCAGGCAGGTCATCTCTCCATGTCCTGAGGCTTCTAGGACAACCATTTAACTTTTCTACCACGGGTCTTTATTCCCCCCACCCCAACATGTTTTTATTAATTACTTGGGAATTTCATATAATGCACCCCAACACACTCACTTCCCATTCCTCTCAGATCTGCCTGCTCACCATTGTTCCACTTTCCCCCAAAAGAAAACAGAAACACCCCCCCCAAGCCCAATTTGTGCTGCCCAAATACACTCATTAGAACCTGGTCAAACTCCCAGTGGCCAGCCCCTTAAAGAAACCTGAGTCCTTCCCTAGCCCCACCCGAAGCCTCAACTGTGACGTGCTTCAGCTTCAGCATCTTTTATTAAAATTTTTTAAGGACTCTCTTCAATAGCTTCATGTCTGGACTGTTCCTTTTTCAGTGGTGGAAGAGGAGAGGTTGGCGCAGAATGTCTCCAGTATCTCTCATTCTCAGTTATAAGTGCAGTCATTGGTACCTCTGCCAAAGATGCTTCCTTGACCATAGCGGTTGGCAGCAGCACAGAATGCTGACGTCGGCATGGTTGCTGGTGTCTGCTATGGTTCTTTACAGGTACTGAGCTGTCTGGCCCCACTTTGCGGCCTCATCGCGTCAAGGCCCTTCTGTTCTAGGCCTCTGTTCTTCAGTGCTTCCTCCTCAGCCCTGAAGGTCCCCAGCTGCAACTCACTGTTATGGCTTGGCAGGAAGATGAGGCTGTGGGTGGGACTGGAGTAGGGCTGGAGGGGCTAGGAGGGTGAGAAGGTTCGAGGGTCACCATGATCCCTAGTATGCCTTGATGTCCCCCTCCCCTACATTTTGACCCACCTATGAGAAGTAGTGAGAGCATCATGCTGGTGGTCTGAATGTCTTGGGTGCGAACCCAGGCCTGGAAGCAGGTAGCTGGGGGCTGGGCTGGGCTCGGCTCTGGGAGTTAAGGAGGACCTACTTTCTCTGGTGCTCAGAAGTGGGCCCTGGGGGATTGGAGGGAGTCTGAAGAGTGGAGGCTCCCTGTGTCATGGGAACTGCAGGAGGGGCTGCTGGCACCTTAGAGTGCCTCACAAGTACATTTAGATGGGGGCCAGGTACTAGAACCAAGCTCAGGCCATAGAAGGACCAGCCAGGAGAGAAAAGGGGCTTGTGTTCTTAGTGGTCTTCATCTCCTACACTCAACCAGTATCTGAACCTTGGTGGGAGGGGACCTGGTCTTAGAGGCTAGGGAGAGGGGTAGTAGGAGCCCCTTAACTTTTCTGGACCCTCCATTAGAGGAGACCATTCTTAGGGAAGCATGTCTAGTCAACACCAGGAACTCTTACCCAACCTGCACTCAGGAGGCCCAGTGAGCAAAGCCGGGACAGCACTGTCCTGGAGCATGTGAGAAGCTGGCCACTACTGACCAGGGTGTGAGAAGTGGTTGGTTGGTGAGTTTTCATGCTGTCCAAACAGCCCTGCTTTGCTTGTCTACAAGCCCTGTGCTGGGCAGGATTAGTCCAACATTCTGAGGTAAGTGGGAACTGAGGCTGTCTGATCAGATCTGTAGCCCCATGTGGGAGGACCTGAGGGAAAAGATATGGGCACCAAGGCTTAGGGCATAAGCCTGGCTTCACCCAGACCTCAAGTATACAGACACAGGAAGAGGAGGAGGATCCATGGGTGCTGAGTATGGTGAGGGAGATCTCCTTCACCACCCAGAGCTCCAAAGGGCACCCACGGTGCTGGAAAGGTGGCTTTTGCTAAACCAGGAGGGATCCCAGAACTGGAGACCCAGAAATCTGTGGAGGGATATTCTACCTCTGATATATAGTGAATGCCAGCTGGGAGCTGAGGGAAGAGTGGGGAGGGTCCCAAGAGTACTAGCCCTGGCCTTTCACCCCACTGGGCTGGGAGGCTACTACAGGTGCCTGGCCACCTGGTCTTCAGTGCACAGGTGCAGCTCCTCTGTCAGGTCCAGACACCTCTGTGACTAGTTCCTTTATTTTATCCAGTGACTTAACTAGTTTGCTTGAGCCCAGTTGGGGTTGGAACATTTCCTGGGTCAGCTGCTTTCTTTGTCCCACTGTCTCTCTTGCACTTGCCCATAACGATGGAAGTCTTAAGTGTGTGTTTATGTACGTGTATATGTGTATGGGGGGGGGGTGGAATGTTGGATGCTGGGAGGGGGATTCAGGTAAAGATGGCTGCTGAGATTCCAGGGACAGGACAGTGAGTTGGCTATGTGGTGTTGAGTCAGGGTGGTCGTGGGAGGGACTAGCCAGCTGCCTTCCTGCCTTTGGGAGACTTGCTCTGCTCTGAGACGGCAGGGCTGAGAAGGGGTGGGGCTTAATGCCGAGGGGTGTGGCCAGAAAGGGGGTGTGGCTAGACCCTGGAAGACTAGGGAAGGGGCTTAGAGCTAGAAGGCCAGGCAGGAGTGCAGGAGGAAGAGCCAGCCTCACCCACCTGGGGAATTTTTCCAGTTGCCTTAAGTATATGGTTGTACCTTCACCTCTGGCGTAGGTGTCTCATTTCCGTCAGCCCTTTGTTAAAGGACACTTTTACTGTCCTGTGTCACAGGCAGAGGGCAGGTAGCTGGTGAAAGACCACAGCTGGGTGGCAGGGGTCTTTTCTCTCTGTGTGCTGGCTCAAAGACGGGAGAAGTTTGGGTTTGGGCAGGGCCAAGCCCAGTGCTCAAGAACCACAGCCAGGCCAGAAAGGAAGCAGAGGCAATCCCATGAAACAGGAGCCCTGCTGGTCCTCTAGCGGATGCTGCTAGCACCCACTGGACACCAGGGCCTCGATAAGGGGACAAAGGCACAGCTCTGGGGACAAATACTCATGGGTATTGTCAGCCAAGCCGCTAGAGAGCCGAGGCGAGGCCCACAAAGGGCCCGAAGAAAGGGCCGCGGGAGGGGCTGCGAATGGGCCTTCCCCGCACTTAGCACCGTTGCCCAGGCGACGGCCCTCTCATGGAGAGGTCTGCTGGGCCATTGTCCAGGGCCTGCAGGACGTGTCACACACCAGATGGTCGTGTGCTGTCTAGGTCACTTATAGGGGGACAGAGTGAAGGAATGTGGCCAGCTCGGCAGGCCGGGGCACCATCTGTTCCTTCAGACCGTGGGCATTGGGCGGGCATTGAGCGTCCGGCCTGCCAGGCCCAGCCTTCTCCCCGGCTTTAATTAGGTAATTCCATAATTGGGCTTTATTTCAGGTAAATTGCATTTCACACCCGAGAGGGCTGCAATGGTCCTTGCAGGAGAACAGCCCTTGGCCACTCTACACAGTCCATAGTAAAGCACTGAGGCCGGCAGGGTGCAAGGAAGGACTGTGTCCTGCCCAGATGGACGGCCCTGAGCTCCCAATGGGCTGTAGCCTGCCTGGGCAATGTTGAGGGCCCTGGCTACAGGCAGCCGCAGGCTGGGGCTTCCACAAATATTTACCCAACAAGGAAACAACAGCTTCTGCCTTCCAGCAATTGTTACTGCAGAGCCCCCCTTGAGGGGGGTTGAGGCCGGGAAGCCTGAGGCCTCAGCGCCCTTCCAACTCTTCCCTCCCAGTGCTGGCCAGTGCTCATTAGAGTAGACACCAAGACCTTGTGGTGCATGCCTCTAGGACATTCAGACCCCCAAGAGGATCATGGTTAGAGACCCTTGGGGACTTTCCCCTCCTTTAGGGGCCTCCAGCTGCATCCCTAACCTTGGCTGTTTGATCCCACTTCTTGCTATCTGCTGCCTCCAAAGCCCCAGGGCACCTCCATTCTTTAAAGCTAAGAGGCCTCGGGCCCTGATGGCCTGGCATATGGGGTGGGCTCTGGAATGAGGACAGAATGAGGACAGAGTGGCATCAGTAGAGAGAGAGGACACTGGCTGGGCAAGGTCCTGTTCACAGGGCACTGGTTGTATTCACAGTGGATGGATTACAGAGTGACAGCTACAGGGCCGGTGGGCAGGGTGCTACTGGCTTGGAACAGGCCTCCAGCCTAGTGGACTGACTGGACAGAGGAACATTGAAATCCCAACGGGGAAACTGAGGCTTTGAGGGGAGCCCAGCAACCCCAGCACTTATTTGTATACTTCCATTTTCAGAAGTCCAATACTTAGGGCCTTGGAAGCTGGTCCTGGAAGAGATCCACTCTTGAGTGGCCTCCTGGGTCCACAGTGAAAAGCCATCTGGGCTGGGAAGAATGGATGAGAGACCCTGGCACATGCATGTATCTCAGGGTGACTTCCTGGGCATGTATCAGTGTGGTCCGGCTGCTAAATAAGCCAAGTCCTGACCCAGGCTCAGCTGCTCCTAGGGCTCAGGGTCTTCTCCATCTTGATCACATTGGGTAGACAGGGATGCCTGGAGGGGAGGCTTCAGGGCTACCCCCAGGCCAGACTGGCTCAACCTTTGACATGTATCATGGTCCCTGTGAGCCCTTGGAACCTGAACCTTCTCTGCGTGGACCAACCAATCATGCTCACTCCATGGCCACCTGGGTCCCTGGGTCCCAGGGAATTGCAGGGTCTAGTCCACAAAGAGGTTGAGGCTCTTTGTGGGGAACAGCAGGATGCTGGAAGGTAGAGTAGGAAGGTAAAGCGTAGAGATTTGAGCACTAAGTTATTCTGAAGATCACCCAGACACTCCCAGAAGTAAGCATTTTGCCGAGATCAACCCTGGATCTCTCAAGTTTATTTGGAAAAGCCTGTCAATCAAGATCACACCATGAAATTCATTAAAACACAGATTCTGAATCACCAGAGATTATCCTGATTTCTGTGAGTTGCCCAAGGAACCAACCCTGGGGAGAAATGGTAACGCCCCTAACCCTGCTGTGGCTCAGCTGCTGACTGAGGGATGTGGTGTGATGAGGCTGAGTCTGAGCACCTGTTGGGCACCTCTGACCAGCAAGGAGGAGGAGGCAGGCTGCCTGTGGGGCTCACAGGACTTGAGGGCCCTGCTTGCCACTCCAGGGGAGAAGCTGGCAGTCCACAGCTGGCTGGGGTGGACAGCAGATACTCCCCTGCTTGGGATAACCCTTGTGGGAAGCTGGAAACCCCTTGGTATCCTGGCCATGAAGTCAATATCACTAGAGAGTGAAGGAATCAGGCTCTGGCCTGCTGAGTCCCCACTGGCCTGTAGCCTGTAATTAGTGTGGGCTGGGCCTGCCATGCCCTGCTGGGCCCTGGATATGAGGCTGAGGGTGGTGACCCTAGATCCTGCTAGATTCTTTGTCTCCCTTTAGGAAGCCACTTGGCATCACATGGACGGGCCTCCCTCTGCCCGAGTTGCATCCTAGCCTACACAGATGCTCCACATCCTTGTGTCCCAGGTATCAGATGGGTGGCATCACCATCTTGATAAGAGTGACAATTCTGGCCTGAGAGGAACCCCGTGTCCAGCCAAGTTCTAGTACCCACTGGCTGGGCAGAGGGGTCTTGGTGAGTTCCAGGCTCAGGCTAGTGGCTTAGCCCATAGGTTTTTGGGGACTTGGGGAGCTAGGCTAATATATCAGGCCTTTGAGGGGGTGAGAACAAGGTGGGTGCCCCTGTTGAGAGGAAGGTGGGGAAGACCTATGTTGGGGTTACCCTGGACCTCCCTTCTGAGCTCCTTCAGGAGCCCTCATCAGGGCTCATCTGGGGCACGGTCAGCTGTTCATAGGTGGGCAGGCTGTTGCTGGGCAGGAAGAGCTCAGGGTTGATGGTGTCGCCTTCATCTCTGGCCACCACTTGTGGCCTGCTGTTGCAGGTTGGGCCACCTTGGTGCAGGGACAGCAGCTGGTGGAGCATGTCTGTGATGATCACCAATCTCTGATCCAATTGTGTCACCTGCGAGGACAAAAGCAGAGATGAACACGGTGTTAGGGACAGCCTAGTGCAGACCACTTTAGGACCTGGGCATGCAAGGCCTGAAAGAGAGAGCATGATGCAGGTCCTTAGAGCTGTGGGCTGGATTAATGTGTGCACCAGGCCTGAGAAGCCTTTGCTCACCCTCATGTGCCTGTTTATGTATGCTTATTGGGGTGCAGTGTAATACTGAGTTCTTGTGTGTCCATATATGCACAAACCTGGGGATCCTTAGCAGTTATCTCTTATTTCTAGATATACCTCGTGTCTGGGAGTCACCTCTTAGTCCCCTCCCAGGCCTTTTAGTCTTTGAGATTCTGGATGAGCCTCTGGAGCCTATAGAACAGCCTCTGGCTTCCTGTGGCCAAGTGGAGAGAGCATAATGGGTGGTACCTTAGAGGCCAAGGGCTGTGCCTGCTCAGCTTGGAGGGGATTGGATTCCTACACAAAGGGAGAGGCTGGTAGCTGGAGAGAGGGCTTGGGACAGCTGAGGGTTGAGCAGGCAGAAGCTGGGTGGACCATGGAATAGTGCCCATCCTCAAAGGTAACTCAACAGGTACTAATTTAGGACAACACCACCTTTCTAGGTCCCCATGGGTCAGGACAAGGACTTGACCATGTGGTCCCTACTGTAAAGGGGTAAAGGGCTTGTTTTGTTTCAAGCACCAGGCAGGTAGCTAAGAAACTGGAGGGGAGGTAAAGGCACGGCCGAACCTGGGATGAACAGAGTGTAGAGTAAGAACTTGACAATGACCCTATTTGCTGTGCTTGCGGGAGACAATGAAGAACCACTGGAGAACTGCTTAGAAAGAAGGAGCCATTGTGCAAGGGGCTGGAGCCCAGCCCTGGGGGTCTGAGGTGGTCAGCCACTTCCTTTTCTCCTCTAAAAGAAGAGAAGTCCTGTCTAGGGAGGCCAGACAGTTCCCTAGGAAGCATGGGCAGCCCCAGGGGCAGTTGGAGGACCTTGTGTGTGGGGGAGGGTGTGGTGTACATGGACCTACCCAGCATAAGCAATAGAGCAGGAGCTGGGAGTAAGTGAGGGGACTTCAGCTGTGAGTACATGGGGTGGTTCTCCTGGAGTGCTGTTAGTAAAATCAGGGGTTTCCTCACCCCCACAGTGGGACCTGGAGTAAAGGGAACAACAGTGATGCAGGGACTGAGCCAGAGTTTCTGACAGATGGCCTCGTATGATCAGGCCTGTGAAGGTGCTTTAGGGAAAACCATAAGATGACTCAGCCAACCGCTGACTGCTGGCCTCAAAACCTTGGTGACTTGGGATCTGAGGACAAGGGGCAGGGGCTGGTTCCCATCTTCCTGGACAAGTGTGTACCATGAGTGAAGTCTGAGTCTCAGGCAGGCTCCTGATGCTTTCAGTACTGGTTCCCCGGTCCTACTACTTGTTTGTATTCTGAAAGGGCTAGATGGGATTATCCAGGCTTGAGGGCTCACATGGGGAAATCGAAGCTCAGGGCTTAAGAGTGCAGTGGGTGGAAGCTGAAGTCAGGTTGTCCCTAGCAGGTGAACCCAGGGTTCACGCCCTGTGGGAGGCCTCTGTGAGCCCTGCACCAAATGAGGGTTGTCTGAGGCCAGTCTTAGTCTGGTCTCATGCAGCTTTCAAAATGCATAGCCAATTTGAGTAGACAGGGGAAAAGCACCATTGGCTCATGGGAGATGGATGGTTTCATGAACATTTACTGACCCACAGTAGAACACTTGGGGAGCCTCACGTTTACTAATGGGCAGCGTCCTTAAAGAGAGTTCTTGGGGCAGGGGGAGGGCTGTTTGAAACCTCCTGTGGGACAGCTTCCACAGGCCCATCCAGCCTGTGTGTGCCTCTCAAGGGTGTCTTTGAAGCCTCCCTGGACAGTTCCCAAGCTCACAATGACCCCATGGCTGCTTCTTGGGTCAACTGGGGTTTTGAGGAGCCTGTCTGGGTCCAAGGTGTCCTATTAGCCAAGCTGCTAGTGGCAGGATATGGCCTAGAGTCCTAAGAGGGTCCAGAGTTGGGGGCCTCCCTGTGTTACTATCACCTTGTTTGAGGGAGGACAGGACTGTGAAGGCAGAAAATAGCGCAAGGGGTCCTCTAAATGCACTGACTCCTCCAACTCCCCAGTCGCTTGAGAGTTTGCCTGGAAGACACCCCGGGTCTTCTCAACCATCCAGAGGATCCTCCTAGATTGTCCAGCTACCCACAAATATGGGTCCCTTGCTTGCCCTGGCCACCATAGTGAGGAGCAATAACTTGCCACTGAGTTCTGTAGCTTTCCTGGACTTGTTCAGATCAGATTGCCTCAGCCAGCTTGGCCTGGGGTGGGAACAGCAGGGCTTGGGTTCAGGGTGAAAGGTCAGGGATGCATCAGGCTAGGGATCCTAGTCAGCCTGGGACCCTCTCTATAGGGTCAAGAGGGCTTGGCCTTTGATGCCTTGAGGGACATTCATAGGTCACTTTCAGAGGCCATGTTAAAAATGTCCGATATCCAATGAAGAGCCATCAGATGCCAAAGTTGGCAATAGAAGGGCCTGTGTGGAGGTGGCCAGGGTGGATGTTATATACTTAACTTATACTCTCGCCTGGCTCTTGGTGGATGGCTATGGTGCTTGCTGGCTAATCTGTCCAGCACAGCTTGGGAGCCAGGGGGTGGGGGTTGCCTTTTGAGGTGGGACTGCTGATGTGGAGACCTGGCCATGCACGCTCCTTGTCGCCTCTGCTTTCTTAGCTGGGGAAGTGAGCCGTGTTGCTTTCATTGGATGCGTTGTACAAAGAGTCTGGGGAGCTTGCCTGCCAAGGCTGTGCTTCTTGTCTTGAAGGCAGGGCACAGGGGACTTAGCTTGCTCTCCTAGGCTCTGCCTCCCTCCTGGAAACTTAGCCTCCCAGAGCAGCACATAGAGAGGCCCTTCATGCCCAAGCTTGTGTCCGGTCCTGCTGGACCACTGCAGGGAGGGTTCTGGCCTGGTGTACCGCGGCTCCTCAGCTCAGAATTCAGCTCCAAACACAATACTTCAACAATTGTTCCTGAAGACACCTGGCTCTACTTTCTCCTTTTGGGGTTTTGAATGCATGGCTCAAGAGCTGGTGAGCGAGCACTTTGCCCAGTGTTTAGTAGGTGGAGGCAGGGAGCCATGTCACAACAGGCAGGTGCTCAGAGAGGTGCCACCACCTTCAGGGAAGAGCTCTGGGCTCTGGGCTGGTGTTCTCCAAGGGACAGATGAGTTTTGGAGATCTAAGATCTCATCACTATTTGCAATTTGATAGTGATTAACATGGCAAGGCAGACAAAAGCCTTGTTGTGCCCTGTCTCTGCTCACCAAAGTAAAAACCATAGATGACTTCTGTGGGCCTTGGAAGAGAGAAAAAGCAATTAGAATAACAGCTAGTTAGAGAGCCTGCGGCGGCTGGCGATCAGACTTAAGGCGACAGGGATTCCTGTTTGATGTGGTTACGAATTTGTTTTCAAAGGAAAATCTTGAAGAGTCTTCTTTAGAATTTTTTTTTTTTCAGGACCTGCCTAGCCTTGATCCTTGGTCAGTACCCCCAAAACCAGCTTAGCCTGGTGTGGGGACACCAGGGCTTGGGTTCAGGGTGCAGGGGCCTGGGATGCATTCAGGCTAGGAATCCTTGTTGGTCAGCTCAGAGCCCTCTGTAGGGTCATGAGAGGATGGCCTTTGGGATGCCTTGAGGGACATTCATAAATTACTTTCAGAGGCCATATTAAAAATGTTTGATATCCAATAAAGAGCCACCAGATGCCAGCCTGGCAGTAGAAGGGCCTGTGGGGAGTTGGCCAGTGGGATGTAGATAGAAGACAGAGTGCATGGGAACCTAGGGACAGTTGAGGTACCCCCTGGCTGGGTCAGTTGACCCTGAGCTCCCACTGGCCTCCACTTCTGCATCTTACGGATCAGGCAACAAGGCCTGAGGAGAACACTGCCTGGCAGGCCCCGAATAGCCTCAGCCCTACCCTAGGCTGCCTGCCTATCACTTCTCTACTTCCTCTCTTCCCAGAACTCTGATACACCATCAAGAGATACCTCTTTAGCTGTCTAGGCTAAGTGTGGTCCTACTTTTCACAGAAGGAAGGATGTCAACAGGGATGCCATAGGGGAGAGAAGGGCAGAAGTTGAGTGGAGGTTAGTAAGAGAGCAATGATCAGTAGGCCTTTACTGAGCGCTTTCTGGGTACTGGGGCTCCAGCGGGTTTATACACGATGGTCCTTTCAAAATACAAACAAGTTCACCCACACCTCAGGGGGTAGCATAAACAGTCCTTATTTCAAATACCCCATGAGAGGGCTTGGAATGGGGGGGGGGTATATATACAGGTCATCTCCTCCCTGTAACCCCTTTGCTGGCCTTCTGTATGTAACTTTCCTCCTGTCCCCCAGAAGCTATTCAGCAGGAGGCTAGGGTCCCTGGACACAGCTGGGCTGCTCCATCCTCCCCATTTCATTCCAGCCCAGCTACTGTTGCCTGTTCCTGGGACTGCTACCGTGGGTCTCCTGCTGGCCTCTCACTTCAGTGGATGTGTGCGTGGTGGTCCTTTCAAAACACAAAACATCCTGTTGGCCCAGGAACCACCTTGTAACTCGCTTCCCTTTCCCACGTGACCCTTTTTTTCCTTTCTCATTCCCTTGACTCAAGGCCTATGCTGCTCCTCGAATATGGCAGTGGGTGGCTATCTCAGGGCTGTCCACTCTTGGCCCTTTCTTTCCTCAGTCCTCAGGCTGCCTGGCATCATTTGTTAGTCACCTGTTTCTCTCATTGGAATTGGGCCCAGTCAGTTGTGGGTCTCTGCCTCTACTTGCTGTAGTACTATTCTAAGCTCATGGAAGGGTGCAGCCAGTGACAGACAGGTGACACCTTCACTCCAGAGTCCAAGCTTGAGGAGAATGAAGGCAGTTTCACCTACCTGAGAACAGCAGAGGAAGAGGCGCTGCCTACAGGACACAACCTCATCCAACACCCACCTGCATGGCGAGACCATG